GTTATTAATTTGTATTTAATTTTGTGATTTCATACAATATAAATTGATATTTAAATCCTCTCTGCTACCTACACCTTCCCTTACTGCCACCTACCCAATTTAATGTATAATATAGCCTATAGAATCTAAATTGTGTCCACAAACGCCCTTCAATGTGGGTCCATCTGCTGGCTTAACCTGCCAACAGTCCTAGGTTTAAAAGCGGCTATCTCTCCCCCTCCCAGCAACCATCAGTTGTCAAAAGTTCCATAGGTTATGTTGGAATTTCTTAACCAATTCTTCATCTATGATGGGGTATTTTTCTGGTTTGAGCTTACACAGGACTTGGCATGCTGTCACCTTGCTCTGAGTTCATATATGTAACTGACCAGCTGCCTGGAAAACTCCATTCCCTTAAGAATGACCTTAAAGTCATCCACCTCCTCTGACTCTTACGATCTTCTTTCTCCTCTTCCACAATGATCCCTGAACCGTGGGGGACAGGAGTTTGAAACAGATGTTCTATCTAGGGATGAGCACTCTGCAGTCTTTTGTTCTCTGCACATTGGCCAGCTGTGGATTTCTATGTGAACAGGCCTTTTTAAACTCTGCTAGTATGACAATAAAGTTACAAGAGTATAAAATTGGGAATGAAAGAGGAAATAAATGTTCATGTATGATGGATGAAGCTTCAGTATGAAAATTTTCTTTCTTATTGAATAAAGTTGTAAATTTATTTAGATTTTATACAATAATCCAAAATAAAATAAATTTCTAAAAACATGTTTGCCTACTGCAGATCAATGTTTTATTATATGTAAATGTTCCTCAATTATTATGCATGTGAAATCATAGTAGATTTTTTTACTGATAACATGATACTGGATATTATTCAAAAGAAATCATGCCTCTACTAATGAAATACAATAATTAGGTAGTCATTATAGCAATATATTTCATTGAAGCCATCTATATGGGTTTCCAAGAAAAAAGAAGATGTATATATGCTAGTCAATTAAAAATGAAGCTCTCAAATACTCCATCTAAGAGCTACATAACATTGAAAAAGACAGGGGTTTGGTGTCTTCTGTAATAGTAATACCTAATTCACAAAGATGGATAAAGGATAAATTTCTAGCCTAGCATATACTACTGATCTGAGTAATAATCTAAATAAAGAAGGATTTTATGCTACAGTAGTGAAGCCATCTATGATTCTGTCTTAATACTGGAAGTGTTTCTGTTGTACAGGGTTAAAGCTGATGTCAAATTATTTCCCACTGTAGCATTAATTCAATTGAATTGAATGAGTAAGTATCCTTAAATTATTTATGTCTTAGCGGAATAGTCAGATTGTTTACATTGTTTTCCTCTGTATCTTGGCTTCTGCCTATATTTCCCACTGGGGAGTACATAGAATTCCAGACAATTAGGAACAAAGTCAAGCAAAGTTTTAAGGTCTCAGATAATTCAGATGTGATAAATTAAACACATTGGCTGTTATTTCCCCAGGGAACCTCACAACAAGCAAGGGAAACTACAAATGCTTGATGCCTAAAGAGAAAGTAAGAGTGATAAGGAATATCAGAATTCTGTTGTTTCTCAAAGGTAAGTGGATTATAATTGTATTTGATGCTGATGATCACAATCCTGTAGTTAATTTCACCTCATGCCTCACAGACTGAATGTAGACTCTCTTCTATCCAAAACAAACTGAATACAGCCTGAATGCAGGCTCTCTTAACTATCCAAAACAAACTGCCCACCCTAAGAGACAAACAACCTGCAGCATTGTGGCGAGTGGTTCAGGTGAGGTCCTAAGCGTCTCACCATACTTGAACATTGACCAAGTAAGACAGCCACGAAAATAGCCTTCAGATGACATCTGAACTACATTGTATGAGAAGCCCACGGGAACAGCTACACATTTCCATCCATAAAGCCCAATAGATCATGAGAAATAATAAAATATATGCATATTTATTATGTTGTTAAGAATTTGCTACTGAGCTACAAAAAGCAGTCCTAGTGGTACAGATTATTAACATAAAATTATTGAAATTATGAGCATTCCAAGGAGAGAATAATGGTCAAAATTGATCTGTGTGAGCCTCTGATAAAAATAGGACATATATAAATGAGATGTTTGAGAATGAATAAGAAGAGAAGTAGTTAAATATTTGAGCGTGCAGAGCAAAAGAGAAAGTATACATGTTCAGGCAAACAAAAACAGGATATTAAATAAGCAGACAGTAAAACAAACATGTGTGGTAATTGGATGGTCCTACACTGGAAGACCTTAACTGCATTTATTTAGAAAGAACTGAGAGTCTCCTCAGATTCAGAGAAAATTTCGCTGGGATGCTGTCTGGACAGAAGCAAGGAGAGGTGCTGAGGGTCTTCTTAAGGATATGTTCCAGGCCATCTCTTCATTAAAGCTGAACAGGCAGAGTCTTCCACGCCACACACCATTTAACCCAACAGCGTTTGTATTAGATTTTGAACTGGGAAAATCACTCTATGAAAGTGAAGTGTCAGACTCAAAATTGTTCATCAAATAAAAATATATGTCAAAGTTCATTTAACATTGCAAAAGTCTGAATCATGGGTGCTGTTGTATGGTATGACTATTATCTAGTGGACTCTGTTCATAAAGCTTCAGTTCATGTTATTGACAGGACTTTTTCCTATGGAATTGTGGTTCTCTTTGTCTGTCCTTGCTGAACATGGCTCTGGTTTTAGAAGGAACACTTTTAATTTGGTTAGCTGAAGAGGTATTGGCATTTGATAGCTGCTGGAAGAGGAAGAATCATTCTTTGTTAAGGATG